ACACACAAACACGCACATGCGTGACCTCCAATATGGCAGCGAGACACACAGAGGACAGAAGAATCAAATACTTCATTGACAGCATCACACAGTGCCTTCATCGTCTGTGATGCAACACAAGATCTGCGTGATTCTGGTAAACAGTTTCAGAGGCGTGCAGCATTCACTATTTGAAAGACGGCAGGTTTGGCACTTTGATGCTGATGTCCCCGATGTTGATGTTCTTGGGCATCTCTGGGAGGTTCATGTTCTTGACGGCCGACACGGCGCGCGCCGGAGCCCCCGCGATCCCGGCCTGAACACACAAACACACAGTTACACAGAGAACAGACACAGACCAGCACAGACCAGCAGTCACGCTGTACATCACAAGATGCAAACAAACGCTCTGATCTCAAAGCTCTGCTCATGCATTACTCAACAATCAGACGGGATGGAAACCCAAAGAAGAAACGGAGTGTGGAAGACGCAGGAGAAGGACGAAAGACAGGACAGAGAGCGGATGAGCTCCGCAGAAACTGATCCAGATGAAATGAGGAGGAATCAGAGACACACAAACCCTCAGAAACTCAGACTGAGCGTATGTGATCTCATGTGCACGAAGGGTTAAAACCATTCAAAAATTGAAATTGATTCACTCATTTTCAAATGGTTTAACTTTACGTACTAAAATAACTCAAACTGAAATAAAAGTAATAATAACCATATAGACATACATACGGGTCAAAGACGAGACGTGTCCGCATCAAATTAAATTTACAAAAGTGATTTTAGATACACACAAAGCATATTAAATGCAAGTAAAGTGTCTACTTTAATGTTTCAAACAATGTTTGTTAAAATAAAATGTCAAAATATGGGTGAAATAATGTTCACTGTTATTCAGCATGACAGATATTTCAATAAAAATTAAACAACACTTATTCTAACCTGTGCTTATTAAAATATATAAAGAATAAGTGAACCTAATTGTTTGAAGGATCGTGGCAAAAATTGGTGAAGATTTAAAATGACAATTAATTAGTATTTTATGGCTGAACTGTGATCCTTACATAGTCTTTTAATGTTCTGAAAACCTCTTTTCGTCTTTGACCCATATATATATATATATATATATATAAAACTACTAAAAATGACAATCAGCTAAATTACAAGAAGTTGAACTAAAATGAATATATTAACACTAACTATAATAGTATCTGAATGATTCTAAACTAACACTGTGCTCGCGGCAGGGTTACGCGGTTAATCCGGTCAGCTCCACTGATCAGAATCTAATTAAACTCTGATTAATGATGATTCAGGCTGTTGTCAGCAGCTGTTACGTCAGAGAGAATATCGCTCTTCAGTCTGTTCTGCAATCGTGTAATCAACATTCACTTACATCTGCAGGGTTTGCTTTAATGCCAAATTACATGAAGGCACAAAGTGAGACTAGTTAAAAATGAAACTAACTAATCAGAACAAGTACACAGCTGAGTAAAGACCGACCGACTGCATGTGAACAAACGGTCTCGGCTTCTGATGTAAATCTGCTCTTAGAGCGTCCAGACGGTTTGTGATGCCTGAAGATGTGAGTCTTCATCAATCCGTCAGTCTTTACCCGCCGTCTGGTCAGCTGGAGCAGTGCATCATGGGACAGTGTTCAGACAGACACTGTACAACAGCACAGATGAGAATACTGTACTTACCCTCCACGCTGGTGTGTGTGTGTGTGTGTGTGTGTGTGTGTGTGTGTG